TGATTAATGTCTATCATGCAACATGTAAAACTGGGAAGGATAAAGCTGTTAAAGTAAGATATATGTCTATAAATAAAGGTTGTAGTATTGTACTGTGATTAATGTCTATCATGTAACATGTAAAACTGGGAAGGATAAAGCTGTTAAAGTAAGATATATGTCTATAAATAAAGGTTGTAGTAATGTACTGTGATTAATGTCTGTAACATGTAAAACTGGGAAGGATAAAGCTGTTAAAATAAACCTATACATCACACAACCACAGAAAAGGTGTTATTGTATGTAGATGTTGTTGACCTAATCTTACAAATATTTTAAATTTCTTTCCTATTTCATTAACAGTTTCGTATTCAAAAGACAATTTGTTAAAATGAGACTAAATTTTTTTCATTACAGATTTTTATAGAGAGAGAGAAAGCTAAATGTGAACTACTTTAAAAGTTATGCCAGTGGTTTTTTCCAGATTCTTATTTTCTTTTACATGTGTACTTCCTGTTTAGTTGTTCTTTTATTTCTTGTTTCAGTTTCCTCTCTCAGAAATATCTGCATAAACAACTTATTGTAATTTGTTGATGTTTGTAAATTTTAACAATTGTAAAAATATTCTTAGTAAAACATTTAGCTTCTCAGTCTTTCATTCAGTTTAAAAAAAACAGTTTATTAAAATGTTTGTTAACTTTCTAAAAGTGTGAATAATGTGATTATGTATTTCTGGAAAAGAAAAAAAAAGATTTAAAATATTTGATTTATTTAATTATTCAGATATACAAGACTTCAATCCTGATCTTTAAGGATCGGGATAAATATGTCTCGGGAGAATTTCGGTGAGTTTACGTATGAAACAGTTTGTAGAATTGGTGTAAATAAGTGTACAATTTTGCTTTGAGGGAGATAAGCATGGTGGTTGCTTACAGAAATAACTCATGAACACACAAATCTGGATATTCTGTCAGGCATTTGACTAGTTGCAAACCTATTAACATATTAAAAATCAATTTAAACGTGTAAGTTTTCTATGATTAAAATTTCGTTATTCGTTACTAGTTTGTCAGTTTTAAAACGTTTTATCAAATGTTAAAAAATAGGAGACGACGATTAACTTTTTCTGTGAATAGCCAAGCGTTTTTAACCCATCTTGCTAAAAGTGTACTGTTAGTGAATTTTAACTTATCATTAGTGATAAAATGTTTGAATTCTGATCTCATGGTTTTGTACTCATGTGGAAAATTTTTAAAAATCTATCAGAGAACTTCTCAAAGTCGAGCAAACTTAAATAAGAAACTTTTTGTTACAGTGTTAGCCAGCAAAATAGAAACTTTTAAAGTCCGTGTCTTATCAAGAAATGTTTTTTTTTTCTATACCTCCAAATTTTCTTTGTTAATAATTTCAGGTTTCGACATGGTTACGCTCGACATAATCCCAGAAAAATGGTCAGGACTTGGGCAGAAAAAGAAATGAGAAATTTATCTCGCATCTATTCTGCAGGTTTACCATGTCCAGAACCAGTGATGCTTCGAGGCCATGTTTTAGTGATGGATTTCATTGGATCCAATGGATGGTTAGTTAAGAGATCATGTTTGTGATTCTTGCAAATCTTGTAACAAAACTTTTATTCTTACCTTTAGTTTTACTGTCATGTTAGTTAAGAACACAATCCTTTAGTTTTACTGTCTTATTAGTTTTATTAGTTAAGGACACAATCCTTTAGTTTTACTGTCATATCAGTTAAGGACACAATCCTATAGTTTTACTGTCATATTAGTTAAGGACACAATCCTTTAATTTTACTGTCATACCAGTTAAGGACACAATCCCATAGTTTTACTGTCATATTAGTTAAGGACACAATCTTTTAGTTTTACTGTCATATCAGTTAAGGACACAATCCCATAGATTTACTGTCATATTAGTTAAGGACACAATCCTATAGTTTTACTGTCATGTTAGTTAAGGACACAATCCCATAGTTTTATTGTCATATCAGTTAAGGACACAATCCCATAGTTTTACTGTCATATATGACAGTAAAACTATGGGATTGTGTCCTTAACTGATATGACAGTAAAACTATAGGATTGTGTCCTTAACTAACATGACAGTAAAACTATAGGATTGTGTCCTTAACTAATATGACAGTAAAACTATGGGATTATGTCCTTAACTAATTAGTTAAGGACACAATCCTATAGTTTTACTGTCATATCAGTTAAGGACACAATCCCATAGTTTTACTGTCATATCAGTTAAGGACACAATCCCATAGTTTTACTGTCATATCAGTTAAGGACACAATCCTTTCATTATCTAACAGATGTTTTTCTGTATTGGATTGAGAAACAGTTTAACAGTCAGTCCTTGTGTAAATGAAGCCAGTCGTATTATGATAAAGTTTCTGGCCTTCGTATACACGAAGTTATCGTTCTACCGTTTGAAAGGAAACTTATAATATGCACAATTTGTTTTAATCTATGTAGTACCTTTCTGAAAGTCAAGTTTGAAGAATGGTTGAAAATCTGCTTTGTTTTGAAAACAGTTTTTGTATTTTGAGATTGTAGATTATTAAACATACATAATATTTGATAAGCAGTAGAAATATAGAACTTTTTCTAAAAATGTTTGCTAAAATCTAGGGATAACCGGGACTATTATAAAAAAGTATTGTTGAATATCTAGTGCCTTAATAATGGTTATACAAGGAAATTTGATGAGAATGTCTGGAAGTGGCACAAATTTAACTACCCCTTGGTTTAGTGAATACAGTTTACTGTTTTGTTAATCTAATAGATTCTAGAGTAACAAATGTAGAAATTAAACGCATGATTCGTAAAATTAACTGATGTTTTTTTTTGTATTCTTCTCAGTGTTAGGAGTTTATTAGTGGTTTTAAATAGACTTTTGTTTATTTTAGGCCTGCTCCTCTGCTCAAAGACGTAGAACTGAGCAACTCCAAGGCCAGGGAACTTTACCTCGATTGTGTACTGATGATGCGAAAGTTCTTTAAGGACTGTAAACTCGTGCACGCTGACTTGAGTGAATTCAATCTATTGTAAGTCTGATTAAAGATATTTTGTATTACATTTTCGTGCCACTGTTAGGACTAAAAGGTCTTGAAATGTCATACTATTATTTAAATGTACAAAATTTTTAAATATTTATCAGATATTTTTAGGTTTGTATATATTAAAAATATTTTATTCAAAACTGAACAGTTTACTTGTTCATTTTTTAGACATTCTATTTTAATTGAAGTTTATAATTTACGTTAAACATGCTACTTATTTCAGAAAGCTACTGACGTCTACGTTTTCTTTCAAACGTGTTTATTATATTAATTAGTTAGTGGGATTTTTGAATAATTCTTATTAATATCTATAAAATACCAGTAATGATAGACATTGGATTCACCAGCTGTCTCAAGTTTGTTCTTTTTTTTAAGTAAATTTATTTTTTGAAATCTACAAGTTTAATTATTTTAAAGACATTTAGTCTGTGTTCCGAGATGCCGTTTCTCTAACTTTTATTATCCTAGTAACTCACTGCTTCCTGTAGCAATAGAATCTTTATTACTACCATATTTGCTGGTGTACAAGACTAGTTTTTACACCTAAAACAAAGCCTGATTTTAGCTCTCGTCTTATACGCAGGTTCAGATATAGAGTTCCAGTAAGAACTCTCCGGTTAATAGCATATCTGACCAAAACTACCTCATTCCTTTTGGTTTCTGGAGTAAGTGAGTTGACATCGTGTCACCTACTGTGTTACAATAACATATTTGTAATTGTATCAGTTGTCTCAATTCTTCATAACTAGAAGTTATTTATCTCACATGCTAGTTACAATTAATCAAGACATTTTTTATTTGAAATGTGTTGATCTCGTCTGTCATACTAAAATATTGCTAATATTATATCCAAATAGTTAGTTTCTGTAACGTACACTTATTTTGTAAACATGTTTCTCTAGTAGATCACTATATCTTAAGGTTTATTAATTTTTTTTTTGTAATAGAAAAAAAGAGTTCAACCGTGATGAAAACTTTGTAAAGTTGTTTGTGACTTAAGTTACGCCGCATTGAGCTGTCTGTAGTGTTTGAAGGACATAAAAAAACCGGCAAATACGGTAACAGTTGACTGTAGTTTGTCTTGTACACCGGCAAATACGGTAACAGTTGACTGTAGTTTGTCTTGTACACCGGCAAATACGGTAACAGTTGACTGTAGTTTGTCTTGTACATCGGCAAATACGGTAACAGTTGACTGTAGTTTGTCTTGTACACCGGCAAATACGGTAACAGTTGACTGTAGTTTGTCTTGTACATCGGCAAATACGGTAACAGTTGACTGTAGTTTGTCTTGTACACCGGCAAATACGGTAACAGTTGACTGTAGTTTGTCTTGTACATCGACAAATACGGTAACAGTTGCTCTTTTAAGTTACAAAACCTTGCCATTTGTAGACTTGCGAGGTTACCATTTTACATACAGTTAAGCTGTCTGATATTTACTATCAGTTACTTCACCCGTTCGTCGTTACGTGAAGATACATTGTTTTTTCTTCTACCATTTGTCTTGTTGGAATATTTCTTCTTCATAATAACTGCCTTGTTGAAAGATAGCAGTGTGGTTAGTGCTATAAATCCAAGGATCAGTGTGGTTGGTGCTATAACACCAAGGATCAGTGTGGTTAATGCTATAACACCAAGGATCTGTGTGGTTAGTGCTATAAATCCAAGGATCTGTGTGGTTAGTGCTATAAATCCAAGTATCAGTGTGGTTGGTGCTATAACACCAAGGATATGTGTGGTTAGTGCTATAAATCCAAGGGTCTGTGTGGTTAGTGCTATAAATCCAAGGGTCTGTGTGGTTGGTGCTATAACACCAAGGATCGGTTTCACATCCCATTAATATTTAATGCTGATATAACATTCTCTAGCACCATACATGCCTGGTCGTCATTACGTTTATTAATGTATTTACTAACTCTAATGATCTTTGGACAACAGGTATCACGAAGGGAAGCTCTGTGTGATAGACGTCTCCCAGTCTGTAGAGCAAGACCATCCACGTGCTTTGGATTTCCTGCGAAAAGATTGCACTAACGTAACAGGTGAAATGTGCACTTTAAATTTTGGATATCAATCATTCTGAATTCTTTTGTTATGGTAATGTTGAATAATCTTAAGTTCTTTAAGAGAATTTTATATTGTGTTACTGTGAACAAATACTACTGTGGAATAAAATGTCAGTCTACTGATGTTTGTTTTGTTTTTTTCTTCTGTATGAAACAGATTTTTTTAGGAAGCAGGGGGTTCCAACCATGACAGTTAAGGAGTTATTTGACTTTATTACTGATCCCAGCATTAATGAAAGCAACATTGAAGATTATCTTGAAAAAGCCCAGGAAATAGCTATTAACCGAAGTCTGAAGCAGACAACACAGCAGGAAAAGGTAGAGGAAGAGGTGAGTGTCATGTACGGTTAGACTAGGTAGAGGTAGTTGTGTTTCAATCATTATCGTGGTTGTGAGAGCCTATACTGACTAGATACCACTCTTGAAACCATTATTTGATTCAAGACCTAATGAAGGAGACCCAGGATTGAATCTTGGCTCCTACCACCGTAAAAACAATCTTTCTTGGGTTTCCCCTGATGACGACAGCAGATTAAGTGCCAAAATGTATCATATATAAACTAATTAAGTGTTAAGTATATTGAAAAAAGAATAGTAAACTAATTATTAATTATACTTAGGTTATCATGGAGGCTACTAACTGTGATAACAATAAATCGGGTTTCTTTAACCCTTTTGTGTTAATAAAAAGAAAGCATGACAGTTATGGCTTCAACATTATTCAGGAATCCAACTGTAATGAAGTGATTAAAGTCCAAGAATTAAGGTTGTTGACCACCGTTTCCTCTTTAACACGTAGTGCTTGCAGCAAAGTTGTGAGCTTAATGTTTCACATTTCAATACGACAGTGTATCTTTATCGTATTCCAATTGTACCATCAATGTAAAGTGTTATGTTTTTAGTGCACAAATTAACGTATGTTTACATCGATAGATAGATAACAAAGTTTAATAATAGTGTTGTTACATTATTGGTAAAGCAAATTGTAATGTTTACTGTTTCATATAAAAACTATAATTATTCACATTTCATACCAAGGCCTAATAGTATAATGTAAGTATGATACTTTGAATACTAATACATGTCCTGTATTAGAATTAAACCACCCTCGCTTCTGATGGTGACCGTCTTCAGACATCTTATGCTGTGACTTGAGAAAGTAACACTAAACTGTCTGAATATTGAGTAAAGGAAAAGATTTTAATGTAGAATTTTCACAGTAGATTTGTTGTAAAGTTCCTAGTCTGAATTTCTTGTTTAATCTTTTAGGTGTTCAAAAATTCCTACATCCCTCAGAGGCTGGATCAGGTGGTTGACTTTGAAAAAGAAATAATTGATATTCAAACTGGTGAGAAACAGGTAAGTTAGAGCACAATTAAGAGCGTCTTTAGCCTACACTGATATGAATAATGAATTATAAATAAAGGTACTTGAATTGTGACTTGTTTGTTTAGATCCTGTGTAAACAACATAGTTGTTGATAAATTGGTCGTAAACAGGTGAGAAACAGGTAAGTAAGAGCACAATTAAGAGCGTCTTTAGCCTACACTGATATGAATAATGAATTATAAATAAAGGTACTTGAATAGTGACTTGTTTATTTAGATCCTATGTAAACAACATAGGATTGATTGTTGATAAATTGGTCGTAAACAGTCGAACACTTTATTTTATGAAGGTTACATTTTGAGAAGCACCGTTCACAAGATTTACGGTTTTTACGAGCTGGTTCTTACAGCAAGTTAAATAATAAAACTTTTGTATACAAAGTCAAATAAAATTGTTGTATGTTTGTTATAAAAATCTTTCCAATTTTTTGGAGCCAGCAGAACCAAACTTTGCAGCCGGGTGTGGGGTAGTCTAGGGGTGTTCATATCTATATAGCATAGCTTCTCCAGCAAGGGGGGCTAAAGGTTTTTCTTCCATGGGAATGCCATTTTGAAACTTTGTTCATACTAACAAGCTGTTGGTATACCAAGTGCTCGGGTGCCACATGAGCCCCTTTTGATAGTAGTTATAGAGAACCTTGATACATTGGAGCATCTGTGAACCCCTGCAGTAGAGTGTGAATCTTATCTTTGAATTTAGATTTTAGTAATGAAATATATTTATGACAGTTTCATGTTAGACTTACCATTAAGGTTATTAGTAAATGATTATGTGTTGTTTTCTTTGGTACCAAGTTGAACTTTCTCTTACATTGTTAATAATTTTGCTGAAGTTTGATTTTAACAGCACGTTATTTCTTAGGTTCAGTTTGTGCTTGACAACTACACATATTATTTAAGATAGAGGTATTATTTAAGGTAGACATATCCAAGTGATGTAGTTGTAAGATATTTACGTGTATCTGTATTTTTTGTAGATCCTCTATGATACACTAATTGGACTCAAACCAGACTTATCTGGTACAACACAGGTAACTATGTTTATATTTAAATTGAACATCATATTAAAGTATGATAAACCAGAATTACTTAGTTTTTTTTTGTTTGATAGTACATTAACATGCAATGCTGATAACAAATTTAACCTTTTTGTATCCCATCAAGTTGAAATATTAACAGTTGTTTTGTCTTTGCACTATCTGGAAATCTTAACTGTGTCCACCACAGAAACCTCGACTTTTAGAGTCTTCTGAAAGGGAAGACATCGATGATTCTGAGAATAGTGACAGTAGCGACGAAGAAACTGAAGAGTCAAAGTTTTCTTCCTCTGCTAGACCTCGAGATGAATCACCCAATAGTAAAAAGGTAGTTTTTGGTGATACTTATTTGTAATTTTATTTACATTAAGGATGGCATGTAGATCTGAAGGTCTATTCTTTATATACTTTTTCCACTAGAAAAAAAAATAGCGATCCATTTTTAAGGCTATTGATAGAATCACAAGAGTAACAGTGAAATGCCACTTTGACTAGATGCTACTAACTAGCTGCCTTCCCTCTTGTTTACCAGTTCAAATTTAGGGAGGGTTAGTGCAGGTAGCCCTCGTATAGCTTTGCACAAATATCGAAAACAATTTTGATGGAAGTTACTTGTTTAAGTTCTGAAGGTAAGTTTTAGCAGTAACTCTGAAAGAGATTAAGAAATTTATGTATTATTATTATTCTAAAAAAATGTAAAATGCAAAGGTTAACTCAGCGTGAACATTTTTAGGGTTAAATAGTATTTGACAATAGGACTGCTGGTAATAACGTTCTAGAATGTCCTAACATTTCTGCCAATCGTAACAATTAACTGTTATCATTTTGTGACTATTTATTGTTTCTGTTAAAACAGATGAAGAAATGCTCTTTAAGCCATTCTTATCGAAGGCTAGTTTAATAAAACTGTTTGTTGTGGTGGTAGACTTAAATGAATGTTTATAAAGAGGATTAAATGTTACAGGAAAGAAAGAAAGCCATTAAAGAAGCACAGAAAGAAAAAAGGATGAATAAGATGCCTAAGCATGTAAAGAAACGGAAAATTAAACAAGGAAAAAGAAATAAAAAGTGACTTCTGGAATTATAGTTTTTGTCAAAAGTTGTGAATGTAATACCACAGTCAACATCTTGAAGCATTATAACATGGAAGTACAGTCCACCGAGTTATATTTGGTTTATAATTTTTGGTCGTGTTTAGTTTTCTTGGTGGACTTTCAGTTCAAACTCAATCTTGTGGCATTAGAATATCAAACATTAAAAGTACGTCATTCAACCTGGTTTTCACACTAACCTTTAATAATAAAGTTAACAAAAGAAGCCAAAGCTAAGGTTGGGTGGCTGTTTCGCTAAAAGCAGCGAATGGAACAAGTTTATGGTTTGTAAGGCTGATTTAATGTTCATCCTTGACTTTTATTAAATAAATACAAGTGAAAAATTATCATAGTTTATTTAATGATACCTCGCACAGCCTTTCTTGTCTACAGAACTGTGAAATTTGGGTTTTGTTTTCCAAAATATGCTAATTTTTGACCAACAACGTACACTCACATTATGCATGTAGTTTTTTATGTATTCTTGTCTCTAAATACGACTTTCAAAATTCTATTCCTCATTTGAAAACCAAAGGTTAAGGACATACAATAATTCTTTTAACAGTTAGTGTATCACATAGACAAACATGTTAATCTTAACAAAACAATTTACTTGTTACATATATGTGTTGTAATTACTTTATTATTTAGATAATTCAATCTAGTATTTATTTAAACTGCTACTTCTCAGATGGTCTTTAGGAGGGTTGCATGATTACAGAAAGGATAGGGTGTAGATTACATTTTGGTCCACAAACAAAAAAAAAAAGTTTAGAGAAACACTGATGTAGATGGTCACAAAGGAAGTTTGTTTATTAACAGTGCTTCCTCAGCTTAAGAAACTTAAAAACTATAAAATTCTATCAGATAAGATAAAGTTTGTGTTCTAACTAACACTGATTAGAACTTCACAAACACATTAATTCATGTAAATGACACAAATACATGGGTTCCCTGCAGGATAAAGTAGACAAAACAAGAATACTTAGGTTTTCACACAGATAATATTGATGAAAAAAAGCTGTAATTTATGCAGACTTTCAGTCAATCACAAAATATTGCTTTTCTCCCAGACGATCTTTCCAAACTGAAAAAAAGGGGTTTTATTTTAAATCTAATGAGTTGTGTAACAGAGAGAATGTCCTTAGGCTTAGCAGGTGACTTGTAGATGAGAAGTTTATTATTACGGGATATATTTTTCCTTGATCTAAAGGAGCATTTTCATTTCTAATAAAAAGTTATTTTTTGAACAATGAAGAAGTTTTTTTTAAAACTATTACAAATTGGTGACTTATCAACCTACTTGAAGACTGTTTCCAAGAAATTTTTTCTCTGTTCTCTAAAGAGCATGTTGTTCATCAATCATAGAAGGAGATATCGTCCTTCGAAAGCCTTCTCGTTCTTCAGATGATGACAGTACATACCTGTCTCGGAAAATAGAGGGCCATAGACTGTAAGGGTTAGGTGAACTTAGAAGAGCACGTCTTAAACCAGTCTTGTATGCTCCATCAGGAACAACCATGTCCACCTCATCACCAAGTTCGTTGTTGGACACAGTATCTCCCGTCAACATGACCTGCAGTAAAGAGGAGTCGAGGTACATATTACAAACCGTCAACATGACCTGCAGTAAAGAGGAGTCGAGTTACATATTACAAATGATGTTATTTTACTTTTAAAAAACAAATTTCTTTGATATCTGGGTTAAAATAACTAAATTTAGCTACCCTGAAATTTTACTGACAGTACCTATCAGGTGAGGTTACAAGCAACGTTTTTAAATGTTAACGGGAATATTTCTGTTTCTTAAATTAAACACTAGGCTGTGCAACCTCAAAAAGAAACAGTTTACAATGCAATGCATTAAGTGGTTCCTATCAAACCTGAATTTCTGAAAGTAATATACAACACAGCATTCTGTGGCAAAAAATAATGTATAAAACCCGAGAACAACACAAGTTGACTCTGAGCTCTGTCTACATCTTATGATTTAAGTCGTCTCTAACTTCTGTCTGTATCCTGCGATTAAAGTCGTCCCTAACCTCTATCTATAACCTTATGATTCAAGTCGTCCCTAACCTTTTTGTGTATCTTGTGATTCAAGTCATCCCTAACCTCTATCTGTAACCCCATGATTCAAGTCGTCCCTAACCTCTATCTGTAACCCCATGATTCAAGTCGTCCCTAACCTCTATCTGTAACCCCATGATTCAAGTCGTCCCTAACCTCTATCTGTAACCCTCTGATTCAACAAGTAGTACCTGTGGGGTGTAACTGGACCACCTTAGTGTGCTTCTTCTTCTGCCAAAGGTTTTCCTGCTTCCAGTTTCCGCATTAGTGTTTCTCCACTGAGTTGCCACAGCTTCTGACAGCCTTTTAGATAGTGGCTAAAAATATTTTTTAAATCAAATGTCAACACTTTCTGCTCTTGGTGTGTAGACGATGTTTCAGACTTGAATAAGTCTCTTCACCTGAAACACCGTTTAAAAACCAAGATGACAAATACAGAAGATATTTTACTCAACCCTTCTGGAAACAAGAATTTAGTAATTAATACTTAAAAGGTTTTTTTGGGAATGACAGTCGACACACAAAAATATAAAGCAATCGATATTTCAAAATGATTTATATACAATTTTACAGAAAAAAACATGAATATTCATTCACTTCATTGTTCCCCCTTTCTCGTTATTTTTACAAAAAAAAATCGTCAGTTTGAAAAATTCCGCTCATATTTTTGATCTGACCGCATTCTCTTGCTCTAACTATAAGATTCAAAGTTCGATTTCCCCCTGGTGGTTATTGTACATAAGACCATTCTGTAGAACTGCAGTTAAAACAGTTGTTTTAAAGGTTCAGATAAGCCTTACTTGTAATACTTATTAATTTCTATATGGTACCCTAATTAAACAGAATATATCATTTCACATACTCCACGATTGTGATTTAACCCTTAAATAAGCTATTTTAGGCCTATTTGAATTGGGATGTAATGGTATTGCGTTAGTTATAAGTCATGGAAAGGTAATGAATTAACTTAATGTGTTTTTAACGTTATAACGTCGTTCACTTTTATGGTGTGGACGCCTTTCTAAGCTGGCAAAGCATTGTTATAAAACGGCAGTGTTAGGCCTATTAAATATTTAACGCCACATTCTTTATTCAATAACTGTAGGGGAGTTTCAAAAACAGTGTGTCATAATAGTATTCCCAAATACACAATGTCAGTCAAATTGTTGTGGTGGGTTTTTCGTGAAGAAGAGTTTATAATAAGATTTAAATGAATAAAGAATATAGTGTTAAAATATAACAGACATAATACTAATGTCTTATGACAAATACAATCAATTTCTAAGTGTTTTACAAATTCATGTGGTAACCAAAATTCTTTCAATCTATATAATAATGGTACTTTTTAAACAACCAAAGCCCTAATTTTTAGTAGTACATAGTTTCCGTGTCATTCCAAAACAAGTTAGATTATGTTGGTACATTTATTAATTATTACCCAGTTATATCATTTAAATGATACACGACATATCTTGAAAACTAAACATATATACCCTGTTTATTGTTTAATGTTCCATTACCTGTAGTTTTCTTCCTCCAAATCGTAGTAACACAGATTGATAGACGTCATCCTTTTCCACATCCTGTAGGAAAGTTTAGCTAATTATGTATAACAGAAACCAGTGTATTAAACTAGAAACCTAGTTAAAATCATAAATCCTATTCAACGTTAAACCGGTACACACT